TACAAATACGCTTTACACAATTGATGTGTGTATGGATTGGGATAACAGTTGTATGAGCCCCTAATAAAATGTTTAAAAAAAAATAACTAAATAAAGTTCCCACTCAGTGCATCCCCTGGTATTTTTTCCAGGCGATACGACACGTCCAGACCATGTATGAAGAGGCTTATAACGATTACTTTAGAGACAGAGGAAAGGGAAACGGGACCCTCATTACCTTCCACTCCACAGTAAGTGACGCTGCTTCTTCCTTAAAGCCCCACCTCCTTTAAAGATTACGCACGAGGCAGGCTCTCTCTAATCACCTTGACCATGAATCGACATAAATTGAGTGCCGCTGAGCAGCGCCATGTTTTCACCATCGTGAGAGCCGCCACGGTGTGCAGCAGGCGCTGAGCCCTAGGAGAGACGGGCCGGCGCTCAGACCCGGACGGGGAGGCCGGGATGGCGCCCCAAACCGTGAAAGGAGCATGATCAAGAATAGAGAGAAGGCAACCTAAAGGAAGGAAACAACCAAAACACAATGGAATCCGGATGGGAGGCTTCTTCTAAGCCAGCGGTTCTCAACCTGGGGGTTGCGACCTATGTTAAAAGTTCGCGGCATTAGGGAGATTGAAAACCAAGGTTCTAAGCAGTTGTCCTGTCTGCCTGCAGGAAAACCATTTAGATCCCAGAGCAAAGCAAACAGCTCAAAGGAACTAGGTCCAATGAGGCTCACAAGGAAAGCCAAGAAGAGAGAGAAATACCAGAGTCAATCAACATGCTTGACATAAGGTCAGCGGTTCGAACTCCATGAGAGGCTGGTTCACAGTCTCCGAAGCCCAGTGAAGCAAGGCCGCGCCATCCTACAGGGTCGGGCTGCGTCAGCATCCACCCGCAGGGGTCCCCTTTCAGAGACCAGCTGGTTGCAGGCTACAAGATGGGCTCTGGCCCTGCACCCAGCCATGTCTTTTAAAATTCAAATGCAGGAAGCCTGACCTTGAGCAAGAAAGAAAGGATTTGCCACTTTGGCCGAAAGAAAAGCTGTTGACAGATTCATTTTGATCGGGGATTTCTTAAAACAGAATATTTGTCGGAGAGAAACTGGTAGCAGGTTTTCTAGCCCACGAAAATCCCCACATCAAACCAAGATAGCTGTGGTCACTTTCTCTTCGACAAATACCAGGTTCGCGAAGAAGCCCGGATGGTGCTTAGGGTTCAGCGTCGTACTGCTACCCCCAAAGTCAGCTGTTCAAACCCACCATCCGCTCCAACAAAGATCTACTGTCTGAGAAACCCCACGGTCGGTGGGATGTCGCATCCACTGGGTGGCAGCGGGTTGGGGGCGTGGGTTTACGGGAGGGCTGGGGTGTGACAGACACAACTGTTCCCTGCCAGTCAGAAAAGCTCGTCACCACGGTGGCTCTGCCAGTCAACAGTTTCAGAGCCTCGAGCTAAGTGCCTCTGTCAAAAGCACAGCCCTGACACCCCTTTGGGGCAGTTCTGCGCGTGCCTCAGGTCGCTCTGAGTCAGCAGTGACTGGGACATGGAGAAGTCCTTAGGAGCTTTCTGTGGGGCCAAGTGTTTCCAGGTATCCAGTTCTTGTGACGGGAATGTCTCGGAAGGGCTGCTGGGGTGGCTGCCAAGCATCTCCACTGTTTGGCCTCAGCTGCCCCCAGGGCATCCAAGCAGGAAGGTTCCTTTGTGTTTAAAGGGCCAGCCCCTAGGCGGGCCACCTGTTTGCTGGCCAGTCTCCAAACTCTGGTCTCCTGGCCCCTGGGACTTAAACGGTGGCCACTTCCCCTTCCCAGACTGTCCCCAGTTCATGAGCCCTTCCTGAAGCTCATAAAACGTAAGCTACCCTGCAGGTTAACTTCTTCCCCGTCAGAAAGAAAGGGCCCTAAGTCTCCAATTCCTGTCTAAAGAGCAGCAGCAGTTTACACAGACATTGTCAATTAGCCTCCCGCCTTGTTTGGGTTGCCTTGAGTCACTTCCTGTCCTAAAATCCAGACAAGTTCAGAGAAGTCATTCTCTTGGTTTGCCAACGCAATTATGTGATCCCTCGCGCTTTGCAGACATGCCAGTCTGTGTTGCTGTGCCTGGGCTTCCTAGCCACTGGGTCAGCTCAGCCACCTCGTCATTGGCAGTCACCTCCAGACTCCTAAACTCTCCTTTCTGACTCTAGTTTCAGTGCTGTGGGAAAGAGAGCTCTGAACAGGTCCAACCCACGTGCCCCAAGGAGCTTCTAGGACACAAGGTAAGCATCACGACCAGGCTTCCTGGCCTCTAAGTAGTGGAAAGTGGTACTTGCCCACCGAGGTGGAGAGAGGGAGGCCCAGGGCCAACCTCCGACCGCCTAGAAGGCGTCTGTGGCTTGGCTTTATTGACATAAAATAAGCAACGTAATGATGAGTCCTAATCTCCTCGAATTCCGGGGAACGATGGTGGGTTGACTTGCCAGCAATGAGGCAACGTGTTTATGACCTGAATTAGACTCGCCAGGGTTGTGCATGCCGAGCATATTTCCCTCACCTCTCTCCATGCGAGTCACAGCCCGGACGCATGCTTCCCTTGGCAAATACTATGTGCCAGGCACTGTGCTAGCATCTCACAACTCAAAGATGCAAAAGACGCCCTCCACAGCCTCACAGAGTGGTCAAGGGAGCTACAACAAATGTCTCTACAATGGAGACACAGTGGAGTTAGAAAGGCTTTGTGCAGGAGGGGATCCTGGAACCCAGATTTGACATGAGAAGGTCAGTCCAGGCCAGAAAGCAGCAGCAAGCGAAGCCTGGTGGTCCAAAACTCCAGGGCTGCAAGGGAATAGCAAGTGATGCTTATAGTGAGGTGAGCAAAGCTCGATCTTATACCTGGAGGTCTGGGGGAGCCATTGCATCCAGCATGGGATTAAATTGAACAATTTTGCATTTTAGTAAGACTGCTCAGGCGGCACAATTGTCAAGCAATAGACCATTAATGAAAAGGTCAGCAGTTGAACCCAACAGCAGTTCCAGGCAAGACAGACCTAGTCATCTGCCAGCACGGCCCCCGAGACGCCCAGACAGGGCGATTCTACCCCGACACAGAGAGAGCGGGTCACCGTGAATCAGGGTGACTCACAGCACGCCACGACACCACTCAGGCTGGTTGATGAGAGAAGTGGAGTGGACGTATGGAAGACTGCCTAAGTGACACTTTTGATCTTCCTGGTAACAGAAGCTAGGGGACACAAGCAAGTCACAGATAGTCGGGATGGAGCAGAAGCAATAGGTTCAAAAGATAGAATCCATCGACCGGAGTGACTTACTGAGTATCAGCTGGGCGTGAAAGGGTGGAGATCAAAAGTTCCAGATTTCTGCTGGGGTGGCTAGCTGGGTCGAGGTTCTCTCCACTGAGAGAGGGAAATAGAGGCAAGGTGCACATCCTGTGGGCAGATGACAGTTTCCGTTTGGGTAAAGATTACACTTGCGGTGCCTGCAGGACTGAGAAGTAGTTGAGCTGATGACACCCGTGTAGGCACCCCAGCACATTGGTGGAAGTTGGAGTCATAGGAGTGAATGAGAACATCCAGGAGCCTGTGTGGGAAAAGGATAGAGACAGGCCAAAGACATTTTTATTTAAGGTGTAGGCTAAGGATAAGAAGTCAGTGCAAGACTATGGACTACTGCTCAACCAGTAGGAAAAATAAACACAATATGGATTTCAGACATTATGTTGAGTGAAATAAGGCAGTCACAGAAAGATAACTATTAGATAGATAACCCTTCAGAAACAGTAATGGGAGTAATGATTCCCTGAGAGTAGGAGAAGAGAGGCGCAGGAAGGGGGGAAGGAGGAGCTGATAGCAAAGATTATAATCCCACTCCAGGGGAATGAACAATAGAATTGTAGGTGAATGGATATCTTAGGCGGTGTAAGACATGGAAAATAATAATAATATATAACATAACAATAAGCACTCTTGGGTTAGGGCGAGGGAGGGAGGGGATAAAGGGGAGCTGATATCAAGGAGTTCAAGAAGAAAGCAACTGTTTTGAAACTGATGGTGGCAGCAATGATACAATTATGCTTGATCTGATTGAATTATGAATTGTGACAACATCTGTAAGAGCTCCCAATAAAATTATTTTTTTAAAAGATAACTATTGTATGACCTCACTTAAATAAGAAGATAAGACAAATGTACAGAGAACAGCATTTATTAGTAGCTACAAGAGGTAGGAAGGAAGGGAAAATAAGTGCTAAGAATGATGGGAAAATCACATCGATTAAGTGTAGGATTGCACAGCCAATTATGAAAGTTGCTGTCGATAAGCTGATCACCTGTAAAAAGTTGAATTGGCAAGAGTGTAATAGATTTACAATAACAGGGAGAGGAAAAGAGTGGCTCTTAAGGCTATTTATAGACAGCTAAAACACCTCATAGGATTTGGCTCCTTGGTTTGGAAGTTTAAGGTATGGTGTCATAGGATGTCCTATTTTATTGGTATAATAATGTGTTTAGTATTTCTGCTTTACCTCCTAATTTACTGAATAGTGCCTGGGGTCTTTAATGCTTGCAAGCAGTCGTCCAACACACAGTAATTGTGTCTCTCTTCTCCTGGAGTAACAAAGACATATACAGGAGAAAGATATGCAATGTGCAGCTCTTTGCCTTTATGGACAACCACGTCCTTTGCCCTGAAACCAGAATTGGCTAGTGTCTGGCTCCCTTTACTGAACATTTTGATAGAAGATTCTTTCAAAGAATCCTGATGAGTAGGGAGGAAATCTAGCGCAGAATTACAAAACTCATGGACTCTAGCCTTTCTTGGAGCCTTGGATCCTGGATGAACCCTGAAACTATTAGTACTTAAACCTTCAACCCAAAATACCCCCTGAAGTCTTCTTAAACCATGCAATAGTTTAACGTAACCCCGAAAGATTGTCCACCTTGATCTCTTTTAAAAACTACCCCCATGGAGGCAAAGTGACAACAGCAATGCCAATGCTGAGAAGGGAACCTGTGGGGGCGGTGAGTCCATGTTCCCAGAGTCGAGGCACACCCCGAACAAGAGAGAAAGAGTGGGTGCACAACATCATCCACGTCCCAGAGTTGTAAATAGACGTGGTTGAATTCGTATGCATTTTGCTGCGCATCTACTCAATGACAACAAAAATCCGGGCATGAAAAGATGTGAGCGGACAAGACAGTGAAGTGAAGAAGTCAAAGAGTCCGGGAAGATTCCCAGGAGAGGGACGTGTCAGAAGCCAAGGACAGAGATGGTTGTCCATCAAGTCAAATTCTGGACAAGGTCAGATCCATGGTGACTAAAGATAGATTGTTGCCTTGTGGCTTAGGAGATCATCGGTGACCTTTGCCAGAGAGTTGAGTGAAGTGGTTGGGAAAAACACAAGGACAGTGGGGGAAAGAAGGAATGAAATATGAGAATGTGGGGACAATGATAGAGACACACCAAAGCATTTGAATTTGAGGAGTGGAAGAGATTTTAACTGTGCCTTGAATCATCCACTGAATGTGTATTGAGTCTTCCTGAAGCTTCTGCCACTGCCCTCGAGGTGTCCACCGTCTGGCTGGTAAGACAGGCAGAGCAGCCATCAGCATCCCACGGGTTGAGTAAAGGCTTCACTGGAGGGAGCATGTTAGACTCAACCAGCTGCATGAGCGTCCAGGGCTCATGAGCAGCACACCTGACATGGTTCTTAGGATGAACTGTGATGGGTGAGCAGGAGTCCCGTCAACAAACAAACTTGAGTGGGTGTCCCATGTGGAGGAAAT